GAAACTTGCCCAATGTCTCGCCCTGCCGGGAATCAGACCCAGGATTCTCGCATGCGAGGCGAGTGCTCTTAACCACTGAATTTATACATAATATTTTAATGTATAAAAAATAATTGATATAATATTGAGGCAGTGCGGAGAGCGAAGGGAAGAGAGCGGGAACGGAAGGTGTTGAGCCAATGGGCCTTTTTCGTGCCAACTGATCTTGTGATCTTCATTTAACTTATGGTAACTAAAACTCTTCATCTCTAACTCTCTGCGTGACTTTCACTCGTGTTTGTGATGGCAGCCCTGGTGCTCTGGCGTCCTCCGGTGCTGTGGTTCTGCAATTGCAGATCTGTTGCCAAAGGTTATAATCCACCTTGCATTTGATATGTTTCCTTAGCGCATTGTCGAGACACTGCGTGTCCGGGTTTGTAGCGAAGGAGGCGTTTCTAGCAGATTCTGCACTTTTCCATTGGCCCAATAATCGGTCAGATTGGAGTGGTCGACAGTGACAAAGGCAGCAGAGAGATCGGAGGAGAACGAGGAGGCGGAGAGAGAGAGAGAGCCCTGGTCACAGATAGAGAGAATATCATTAGTGACTTATCAGTAAATATTGCCACCATTCTCCTTCTCCGCCCCCTTGTCCATGTCCAAATCACTGTTAGGGCTGTAACAAGAGAAAATGGTCACATATGAGCTAACTGTAGAGCAGGACACAGTATCGATTCAGCGCCTGTGTGAGCAGCGGGGAGAAATTTACCCCCTCTCACCCAACCCCTTTTCCGCAGCCCTCACTGATAAAACTAAAGGTGTTTGAACTGTGTAGAGATGAGATGGTCCATATAATAAAACTCAAGTTAGTGCAGTACTGCTCTTTGCCACGAGATGTCCACATTTATTTGCAAATGCAACTTGGAGGCTTTTCTTCACATGAGAGTTACATAAAGCAGCGCAGCTCCAGAATAGGCCATTCAGCCCGATGGGTAGGGTGGTCCTATCTGGACAAGAAGCCGGAAAGCTGGCCAGACTGCAATATCAAGCTATGCACTTTTAACCAGCTATTCTGGTTAGACTCCAGCCGTTACTCCAACGCACATTCTGGGGTCCCCAAGCCTTGGCTCTTGCCAATCGCTCCTAATACTTTAGCAAACCAGGAATTGTCCCTCCAGGGAGAGCGCATATTCCACCTCTGTCCACTCCTGTAAGCCTGATCTTAGTGGAACATCACTGGGAGTAGGGAGGGTGTGGAGAATGGATGTTAGAATGATCCTCAAAGAAGAGGAACAGCCACGATTTGCTCATATTAATAATCCTTACGTCTTTGGGATCCCTCATCTTGACTAGTGACTCTTCACTATGTATTCACTCAGCCGGCTCCGACCTGCTTCACCTCCGCCGTACCCTCTGCTCCAGTTTCAGCTCGCAGGCCCCGAAAACTATGGAACTTTCTGCCTCGATCCCTTCACCTTGCCTCCTTCTTGCCATCTTCAGATCGCATCTGAAAGCCTTCCTGTTTGTCCCCACAGTCACCTTGACACCTCAGAGTCAAGCTCCACCACTGTTAAGTACTCCAAGATGTTACCCCGCATGAAGGCCGCTGTATAAATGCAAGTTGTTATTAATGATGTTCGACATGTGAGTGTTGAGGACTGGTTGTGGGATGGTCCTGTATGCAAATTAGCTGCCACATTCACCAACAAAAAATACAGTCACTTATATTACAGTGTATCCCGTGAAACACTTTTCAGACGTCCTCCCTCCCAACATAAAATGTACTGTTTCAAATGAGGCGATTCTCCTTCTAGAGGAACATTCCAGGTCCTTGATGGTGTCTACATAAAGAGAGGTTAAAGAAGACTATTCATCCCATTTCAACTCATTCCTCTAAGATGCCCCGACCTATTAATCTTCCTCATGGAGTTTGCTCTCTCTCAGTCTGTTTTCTTGTCCTGTTGTCTTGGGTATTAAAGTATTTGGCTGAGGTTATTTTGTCATATATACCTACAGAAGGTCCACCTCTGTTGATGCTCCTATATGCTCTTTGGGCGATAGATTTACATGGACTTTACAGCACGGAAACTGGCGTTCAGTCTGTGCTGGTGTTTATGCTTCCCTCATGTGTATCTAGCTTCCTCTCAGGCAGTGAGTCCAACATTCTCACTACAACAACAACAATTTGTGTTTATATAGTGCCCCTCGCGTAGGATAGTGTCCCAGATCGCTTGAAGTAGTTCTCTGGCACGCTACCCTCTGCATGAAGTAGTTCCTGCTAAATGATTTGAAACTCTCTGAGGTGCTACCAGTATGAACAGCACTCTGTAAATAATAATAATCCTTTCATTTGATATAGCGCCTTATCACGTCTTCGAGATGGCTCAAAGCGCTTCACAGACTATACTGTAAAGTATAGTATGAATTGACTGTATTTGGTGGGCAAAATGCGGCAGCCATAAAAAGTCTTGGATTGCGTGACCAAATTATTATTTATTATATGCAAGTTTACGTGGTTTTAAGATCTCCCTAGTCACTGTGTCTGGATTAGATGGGTTAGAGAGAGAGAGAGAGAGAGAAAAGGCAGGGATTGGAGCTGATGTGTATTACGAAACCTCATTGCCACAGAGGTTGTGAAGAGTTCAAGTGGAGCAGATTATTCACAGACCTGCCCGGCCTCCCTGATTTCCAGCAAGCCTTGTTATGGTGTAAAAGAAATTGCAGCGTCAAAGACAGCCTATGATGGGTCAGCGAGTTTATCCAGGAAATAGATGGGTAAGGCCCCGGGTTCAATCCCTGGTCAGGGCTAAATTTGCTGCTCTCGGAGGGGCTACTCTGGATTAGGGAGAAGGCAAAATCCCCCGGAGACACCAAGCTCCCTCTCTGATCCAACTGTCCTCACTGGAAGTGCAAATGAGGACAGGATGAGAACTTTTCACCCGTCCTTCAAAGACTCAAAAACCTGGCAATACTCAGCGAAGATTCAAAACAGGAATTGAGAAATCTCTTAGGATGGAAATGCAGACAGAATGCACTCTAGAACAGGGCTGGCTGTCCAACTCAAATTGACAAGTAGCCGCAAGGGTGGCCAGAGACAGAAATGGCCACTCTATAGCAACAAAAAGGGGGTGGTAATTTACAATACATACAGAATATTGTACATATTTGCCTATATACTGATTTGCACATTTCTATGCACTAAAGATTCTTTCCTTTGGAAGAAAAAAGCCTGGCAGCATTGCAAGGGTATTTTTACATAATAGATGTGAAGTGGCGCAAACTGTAGATACCGGAGGATGTAGATAATACAAAATCATTAATGAGATAAAGAGTTCATCCTCAAGGTATGGCTGGTGGATAATCAGGATCGATTGGTGGATCGCTTTCTGTGGGTAATAATCCTCCACCCAAAAAAAAATCAATCCACGACGACTGTTTGCGAAACACTGCTGTGCGCAATTGACTGCCACATTTTGAACACAAAATACAGTCAATCCACTTCATAATACATTCTGCGAAGTCTCAACAACGTGATAAGGCGCTATATCAAATGCAAATTATATTGATTTTAGTGATTGAGAATATTCAGCGCAGAAAGATTTTCAGGGAAAAGAGGAAAGGAAAGCAAGAAAAGTCAGGATACAAATTAGTGGATGTTTGGCGGTGAGGTAACTTGCGGTCCAATCACTAAAGTGTACTGTTAATTTCTGAGGGAGCAAAGAAAAAAAATCAAAAGCTTCAGGAAAAGGAGCATCATAGAAAGTTTGCAACGTTTGCACTATATGAAATGCAACTAGTTACAACCTTATCCCTGAAGTTAAATGGCGCACAAAATATTGACCAGAAATGAGGTGATTATAATCTTGGCATTTAACATCAAATATTTGTAGGAAAATACACACAGCAATGTCTCAAACAAATGCAATTTTTTCCTGAGGTCTTGTTGGTCAGGATACAGGGGAAATTCATTTCTCATTTTAAAATACTGTTGTGGGACACAACATTTACCTAAACAGGCAAATCAGATTTCAGATAAACACATCAACTGAAGGATGGCACCTCTGGCACCTCGACATTCCCCCACTATTGGAATGGCGTCAGCCTGGACGGTGCGCTCAAAATCCCAACGTGGTACTTCAGCCCACAACTTTCTGTCTCACAAGCTACTGGCTGAGCTCGGCTGACATTCAGAGAGAGCAGGAGCAAGACGGAAGGGTGGAGAGGGGTTCCTGAGCTTGTGGTGTATTTGCTGAAATCTCAGCCACCGTTGGGGGAAGGACCATATGCGTAGCAAACCTGAGCTTGCCAAACAGGCGGCAGGGATGCTAAAATACAATACTTTTGCATTCAGTATTTTAGGAAATGTTGGGAATACTGTAACAGAGATTGGTAGATGTAGAATAGATCTTATCTTAAAGCAGATAAAATGCCCAAGTGTTAGGATTATCCCAGGCTCCCAAGACTACGATGAAATGGCAGAGGCTCAGAACATTATTTAAATCTGTGTAGGTAAGCATTGCCACTAATCTGCACCAGCAAACAGGAGTGATGTCCTGAAGCATATTTATTAGAGCGTTTGCCTCGCTAGTGAGAGGACCCGGGTTCGATTCCCAGGTAGCGAAGATAACAACTTGGATTTATATGGTGCCCTCCACGCCGGACGGCGTCTCAGAGCGTAACGGATTCCGGCGCCGAGCCAGGGGGATGAGGAGGAAGGTGACCAAAGGCGTGGTCGAAGCTGTCTCAATGAAGTGACAAGGAGCTGCATCAAATGGAATTATTATTATGTCCATTCATTATATGCCACCTACACTTAGAAATTTCTCTGCATCTGGAATGGAATGTGCTTCCTTCCTAGAATATACTAATTTCAGAAAGCATTTAGTGCAGGTTGGCAAGAATAAAGGTTCAGGGAATCCAAAGTATGCATTGGAAATATCGCTGGAGATTTTAACTTCAAATCACCCAGCTTACCATTGTGAACACTGGCAACTCACTCCAACAAGCAACATAGACACATTAAGAACATCAGAATTAAAACCTTTATTAGTGTATTCACTTAAGTCTGCATATGCAACAAGCCTGAAGATTGTTTCCTTTCATAAATTCACAAGTTCTACCAATACAGAATCCTCCTGGTAAAACAAGCTCACTTGATAAATGGTAAAATGCTCTTGCTAAACTTTTTTTTAAAAAGTCTGGCCTTTTTTTTCCTGTTTCACATGATTTGGTATAGATTCCTTCCATGATCTCATCTTTGTGACACGCGCAACCTTCTCCCGTGACCGGCGGACAATCTTGCACGGTCTTGGACCAGTCTGAAGCGAGTTAACACTGGCCACCTTTTGTTCTTGGAAAGTAAAGCTAACACTCACTGTACTTACAAAGTACAGCACTAGTGTGGAGAAAAGGAACGTAAAAGAAATTAAAAATCAATCTCGCTATCGCCACAAAAAGGAAATATGACAGCTAGATCACAGAGTTTTAGTAAGTTACTTTTTTTTTGTATTTTACAAGGTACACAATCACCCCCTCCATCTCCAGTTCCCCCTCCCAAACAATCTGAACACATTAAAATATGTGTTCTCCCAAGTTTGCTGTGTGTGGTGCATTCAAACTTGTAGTGTTCGAGGAGCATCAACAACATGTACAGCCATCGTTGGACTGAAATTGCCCAGCTAACTTCACAGCAGTGGGTGAATGCAAACAGTAACCATTTTGTTGTGCCACATCTGTAACTGAAAGCTCAAGTCAGGATATTGTTCCATATCAACAGCAGTCTTTGAAAACACAAAGTTTAAATTTTAATTAAGACACTTGATTCATGTGGAGAATGTGAACAGCAAGGGGAGGAGGGGTTGGGAGAAAGAGAGCAAAAATAAAAAAAATCTGAGCTTTGGTCTGTTTTTAAACTAATATATAGCAAATGTCTAACTTGTCTCATCAACTGTATTTGTGAAGTCCATAATCAAGGTTTAGCCTAGCTTATTAAAAATAAATATCTTTTGCAGAGTGCAAATAATATTGGTTACTTTTAACAGTTCACTGCACTTAAGTGAACTGGTGCCAAAGCCTCAGTGTGAATCTTCAAGCGGCAAATCCATGATTTAATCCATGTAAAGTTCACTACTCAAAGCACTGTACTTCAATGATAAACCGAGCGCAATTCATAGGGGCACTGCAGCTTTTAGCCAAACAAGTCCCATTTGCTCTGGAATGAATTCCAAACACATTCAATGGGTTCACTATCCCCTCGTGCTTGTGCGTTAGGAGAGCAGGGCCTTCACGCTCAATGGGCCAATCCTCAAGAGGCAGCTATAGGTAAGCAAACTAATAGCAAGACAGGTACAGGTCAGAGTCTTCTTCCCTCACTGAATGTCACAACAGCTGTCAAATTAGCCATTTTTTTTAGAAACCTTTTCTAGCATTTACGATTGAGTTTCCCCAAACAGAATGGTTTCCAGTCAAACCGGCAAACCATTTGGTGGAAACTCCCATCAATAGAAGCACCCTTGCATTCATACGATTAGCAACAACCTTTGCCTAGAAATCGGAAGAAAGCGTACCATATGTAATGCAAGCTGAGTTTGAATAATGTAACAGAACGCTGGAACAGCTCAACTGCTTGTGTTTTGAGTAAGGAAGAACATTGTCAAACTTGCTTTACCTAACAAGCTGAACTCTCCAGCAGTGGGCAGCTCTGGAGGAGTGGCTCAGTAGGTGGCAAACCTGGATTCAAAACTAAGTTGAAAGGCAATTTAGGACAAGTCAGATCTGGACTAGTTACGTTAGTTCTCCAAAGCCTACCCATACATTGATCGAGCCATCACTGAGTATACAACAGATCAGTCACTCTTCAGTTTCTGCTGAACTATGTTGAGTAGCAAGTCTCAATAACACTGTACTTCCGTGGAATTCACTAATGAGCATTATGGCTGAACTGTTCCCACTAATTTATTTTCTCAGTCCAGTGCCTGAAACACCGAGTTACACTCATTACTTTGCAGAACTTTTCTTCAGGAGCAAATGCCAAACAGTCCACAAACAACACGTCTCCAACTGCCTGTCTTGCAGAGTTAAACACTGCATTTGCTATTCATTACCTCTGCTAACTAGCTGAGCAACTGTTGCAAAAGGTGGTTGGTGTTCTGATGTGTCACTATGATGCATTGCTCTAAGGCAGACACAATCAATGTTGCCTTCTCTCCTAATGACAATTCTGGTGGTGAGGTACCAGTAAAGAGGTACAGAATGATTCCCACCTTTTTGGGGATATAGAAATGAAAATGCGAGAGATTTGTACTCTGTACACAGCTGAATGAAAAGGCAGTTGAAGATTTAAAAAAACTCGATGAAGCTTTTCAAAAGCGTACATCAAATGTGCATGAATTCATACCACTGAATTGCCGTACATGTTACTGATGACCTCAGGCACTCAGCGACACAGTATGTGCAGAAAACACACAGTACAATGTCTTTGCACAGCATCCTCTTCCACCCTCAGTCATTAGCTATGATTATGTGTTTAATTCACTAATACTAACACATTTAGGTCATATTCTGGGTGTGGAGGAAAATAGAAGTCAACAAGGTGCTTAAGTTGATGGGACCTCCCAAGTGCTATTCCTTTGATTTTTTTGATGTGATAGCAAAGTCTCTGGGATAACACACAAAGTACTAAACAGAAAGCTGTTCAAGTCTGTTGATTGGACTCTTCGGGTTTCTCTGTCCAGTCTTGATACTGAATGGGCTTGTGGCAATTAGGACATGCTTGAGCAGCGGACAGAGGGTGATCCCATTTGGGTCAGGACCTTGTCGAGCCACTGCAGGGGACCATTCAGGTGGAGTTCAATCCAACATGGAGTGCTTGTCACAGTCTGTCTCCTGCCAAACACAAAGGAAGGTTTAAGGAATAATATAATGATAATCCTTGCATTTGATATAGCGACTTAGCATGCCTTTGAGACGACTTAAAGCGCTTCACAGAATATACGGCAAATTGAATTGACTGAATACTTTGTGGGCGAAATGCAGCAGACAATTGCGCACAGCAGTGTCCAACAAGCAGTTGTGGATTGAGTGACCAATTTATTATTATACAAATACAAAATGACATTTGTATAATGCCTTTCAGTAAAGGATTTGGACTCAAGTGGGGTGGGTGAATTGGGGCTTGGTTTGGAGGGCAGGGAGGATGGCCAAAGACGCGGTCGAAGAAGAGGGCCTTGAGTCGTACCTTGAAGGAAGCAAGGGAGGGAGCGAGGCAAAGGGAATTGTGAGATGGAGTTCCAAAGGGGGCAGAGAGGCTGAAAGCCCGACCGCCAATGGTGGACTCCACTGTAAATACAGACAAACACTCTAGGCAAAGGAATTTTGACAAAATATTGCCAAGTATTTCTGAGCTTATTTCAAAGTGGTATTGGTGGCCAAGCCTTAAACCATTACATCTCTAACCTCTGGTCTCTTCCCTCTCGCTTCCATTTCACATGTTACACAGGTAAAGAGCGAGACTGAATATGCTTGGGTTCCTGCGCTAGCAGTCTGTGTAGAGCTCTTTGATGTTCTCCCTACGCGAGAGGAAGAGAACAAAAAGCAATGCCAATCCCTTACCTGTATTCAGCACCCCAACCTTTCACAAAACTCATCCGGATTGTGCACATCCTTGTTAACTGGTAAACAGCTTCAAAGCCTTGGTTTACAGACTGCGCCAGGAGTGCTGCAAATTCCTGATTGTTGAATATTTTCAGGTTACAGCCTAGATTAACATAAAAAATCTTATAAATGATTGTACTGAACATTGCCTTGTTGAGACATCACATCACAATAGTTGCAAACATCTAATGTAATGATCATTTCACACGCACCATCCAACGTAAATGCTATAACACAAAGCATTTTGTCACGTTAGAATAGCCATTTTCCCCCAAATATTTAAAGAGCTTATCAAAGCAATGAGCCACATCCTCCGTGCACTAACGGGTGATTTAGAAAGTTGTCTTCATGTAACTGGAAATTAGAATGTAAGCACTAATTTATAAAGAGGACTTCAGGATTTGTAGAATAGAAAGAAACGGTTTATTTTGATAGTACTTTGTCACATTGCAATTTCAAAGTTCGATGGTAATAATTGTCAAATGTATAACCTTTTGTAGGCAAAGTACTCCATACTAATCTACATAAACGTAGGGTAGCAATTCTCGAGTCTTAAGAGGACAGGAGATTAATACATGTATTTACACAGCACCACACGTCCCCAAACAATCTGCTGATCCATACATACCTAGAGAGAATAGATATAGGAATATTTAACCTAACTGGCTCTGTGATCATTGACTGCAGAGTGTAATCTGCGTAGCTAAGGTCAGGAATGCTGAACAAACCAACATACCCTTGCTTTAGCAATGGTGCAAAAGGTTGGCCAACCAAATACATTTTTCTTTATTGATTTATTTACTGGAACTGGAATCAAGGTATTGATTTGATGGGGACTTGCCTAGACTTGTGTAGGGGTTCCGTGGGCCACTTCCTAATGCCCGAAAGTAGCCTGCGAGCCACTGCACCAGTGTGATATAGAGTAATGTTTGGCCCACCAGTGGTAACAAGTTTAGAAGAAATTAATCACTGCTTAAGCACTCATAATAATCATTTCCTTTGATATAGCGCCTTATCGCGCTTTGAGACATCTCAAAGTGCTTTGAGACATCTCAAAGTGCTTCACAGAATATAATGTAAAGTGAATTCACTGCATATTTTGTGGGCAAAACGTGGCAGCCGACTGCGCACAGCAGTGTCCCACACACAGAAGTGGATTGAGTGACCCATTTATTATTATTATTTTGGTGATTTGGTTATTCCAGGGATCTCTTATCGAAAATGTAGCCAGAGCCTCACTTCACCAGATTATTGTACTTTGCTGTAAATAGAAGATGAGAACCGAACACCGTTCCCGGGTCAAAGTGTTCTTCACGAGGAGGGAATTAAGTGGTAATTAAGACAACTGAATTTCCAGTCTTGCACCCGAATACTCAACTCAACTCCAAACTATGAGTAAATGGAGCCAACTTCTCACAACCGCTCCAAAAGATAACATAGAAAGTAAGCGCATGTTCAAACAATGCAATGAAAATTTGCTCTTAAAGGTCAGTCAACAAACTGCTCTATGTTCTCTTATTAATGAGATTGGATTTTGGTCCATCATCAATTTTTAGTGAAAGAGCTTCACAATTATCCTCTATGCAGCAAATGTCCCTTGCTTCCTATACACAGATACAGAGCATGTAGGCTGAGTTGTAAAATGCATGAAAACATCTTTACTTGTGGGTTGCCACTCAATGATGTTAAAGAGATGTTAGGGGATGCCATTCTATTATCAATGCACAACAGCAATTATTTAACATACTGTGTGTGTCTGCCATAATGAAACAGCTCCATTCTTACCAGGTGGGATTTTGCACACTGTTGCAGGATGCCAACCATATCTTTGATTGCAGTTTGGGCTTTGGACAAAGATGGCACTATCACTCAGGCACTCAGCAAACACTTCTCCGCCAATGTAATACAACCGTACTCCTCTCCCTAAAAGAAAACCATATGTAAAAATTTAGGCAAAAAATCCAAACAGCATTTAAGAGAAATCTTGAGAAGTTAAGCGAATCAGCTAATAGACCGCAGAAGATAAACATCTCAGATAAACAACAACAAAATTACATTTGTAAACGCCTATCATGTCAGGAGGACATTCCAAGACGCTGAACAGTCGGGGAACAGGACCCGAGTGTGTGGGGAGCAGGTTTATGGTGAGGGAGGGCAGAGAGGCAGGAAGGCGACTGCAGGCACAGTCGAAAAGGAGGGTCTTGAGTCGTGTTTTGAAGGAGGCAAGGGAGAGAGCAAGGCAAAGGGATTGTAGGATGGAGTTCCAAAGGGTGGGGACAGAGAGGCTGAAAGCCCGGCGCCGATGATAGGGCCGGAGCCTGCTGGACGGAGGGAGCGGATAGGTTAATGAGGGGTTAGCAGGTCAGACAGGTAGAAGGGGGCAAGACCATGAAGGTCCTTGAAGGTGAAGATGAGGATTTTGTATTCTATCCTCTGAAGGATGGGGCGGAAGTGGAGCCGGGCGAGGGCGGGGGTGATGGGGTCACGGAGCCTGGTGAAGAAGAGGACACGAGCTGCAGAGTTCTGAATGATCTGCAGCTTATGGCGGGAAGAGTTGGGGAGCCGGACAAGTAGTTGAGCCTTGAGTGACGAATGCCCGAATGAGGCTTTCGGTGACCCGATGGGTGAGGCAGTGGTGGAGTCGGGCAATGCGGGTGGGGACGACACGGATATAGGGGAGAAAGGACAGTTGAGGCTCAAACAAGACGCCCAGGTTCCTGACTGGTTGGTGAGGTGGAGTGTGCATTCATAGATGCTGATGCTGCCAGAGCCTGTTTGTAGAGGTGCCAGAGTGAGCCAATCAGGAGGACCTCAGTCTTGCTGACTTTTAGCCGTAGAAAGTTGGCTCTCACCCAGGACTTGAAGTCTGACAGGCAGGCTATCAGGACGAGGGTGGAGGCAGAGAGATAGAGTTGGGTGTCATCCCTGTATACGTGGAAGAAGAAACTACACAGCGATGAACAGTTTGGGGGTGACGGGGATCTATCTGGAGATCTGTATGAAACCGGATTGAATGTACTCAAAACCACAGGGACAGAGGACAAATATATCACTCCAATTCATTCCCAAGGATGAGAACACATAGTGCAGAGCAGACCTTGGACCTGCCTAGTCGATTCTATTAATAGCTCCTTTATGTTTGCATCATTTTGGGCATTTGTTGAATTTGTTCTTTGGTTTATTAACTGGTGAGGTCAATTTCAATAGCCACTTTTGCAACGTAATCGGTTTGAACAGATGAGTAAAGGCAGCACAGCTCCCATTAGGCAGAGGGCAAGTCCTCCAAACATTAGCAAATGGACAATGATGTGGTACATTTATTTATTTATTAAGGAATTATTACCCTCGAAAAATCAATCCACCAATCGACTAACAGCTGGGTTCCTACTCACTGCTAGGTAAACAGAGACGTGTGGAGTCAGGAAAGTTGCGCAAAGTTTCGCCCTGCCCAGGAATCAAACCCAGGTCCTCTCACTTTATACAGTCAACTTAGTTTACAGTATAATCTGAAGCGCTTTGAGACTTTTCAAATATGTGATAAGGCGATATATCCAATACAAGGATTATTATTCTTACATTTACACTGACCTATTACATAGACAACTTCAAAGTTAAGACCTGAACGTCCATTCCCTTCACATTCCACCTCACCACGACGATAACAACTAATTTAGTGCTCTATAGTTGAATCCGTTATAAGCAATTATATAGCATACTTACCAATGTGTCGTCTTGTCATTTCAACTGTTGCATTTCTGTTCACGTTAGACAGCAAGCCCAGACAGAATCTCTCAGAGTTTGAGGGGTCTGTGAACCCATCCACAGTTAGCGAAGGCTGAGACGCATGGAAAGTTTCACCAACTCTTTGGTTCAACTCATAATATGCTATTGAACACCAAAATGCTGGCTCGGAGTAAGTTACTGGCTGTAGATCTGAAACACATTTTACAAAAAAAAATCTTAGGACATACACGACGCTTGGAATTGCCATGATTTAAATTTTAATTCCCAACCAGCGAAAACAAATTATTTGTAATAAGGTCTGACTGGTGTTCTATAGAGCAACACTCTGGACATGGGAATGATGCCTCACTCTGCACTTACAATTTATCGTCGGATTCAAGAAGGAGTAAACCCGAGGAATAATAGGCCGAATGGTTGCCTATTAAGTTGTACATGTTTCTATACTTCTATGGGCTGGAAATACACATATAGCATCGTTCACATCAACACAATGTCTCCAGGTTCTGGACACTCCTGGCTTAGCACCCAAGTTGAGGGTGGAGAGGAAAGATGGCCGAAGGCACGGTGGAAGAGGTATGTCTCAAGACAGATCTTGAAAGCGGTGAGGGAGGGGGTGAAGTGGAGGGATTCCGGGATGGAGCAGGCTGAAAGCTCATTGCAGCATTCACAAACAAAACTATGCTAATTGCTGTTGAAACTGCACAATCCACTAAAAAGTGACTGAAAACAACTGCGATATCAAATAAGACTATTTTGCAGTTAATATTCCCTTTTGACAGGAGGCAAAGAAACAACCTGAAGTTGGTAACCAAGTCCAAGTGCCCCACTTCAATCCCGATGTAGTTAGTTTGACCACAGAAATTCTATTGCAAACTGATACACTGTAGGATTCCTGCATTATGATATTTATTGAAAAACAATTTTGTATTTTTGAATGCTCTATTTTAATGGAAATAAGGATTCAGTGGCATTTTACAGTTTAACAGGTCCTCGTATATAGGAATTTTAAAAGAGAAAGTGTTTTATTTGATCTTACCCAAGCTGTGGTTGACGGGTGACAAGGTGCCAGGCGACATTTCTGCAGGAGACCCTGAAACAGAGAATTACAAAAGTGCACAATTTCCAATACATGGCTAAACTCTCATAATCATGAAATCAGACTTATTTCATGAACTCAAAACAAGTTGTCGTGTTTCATTGTAAAACAAAGCTCTCTGTAACCATGGCTTCTTTCCAATCTGAAAATAAAGTTATTAGAAACGTGGTTCTCAGGAAGCCCTAACTCTGCATTTACAATTTATATTGGGATCCATGGAGGAGTAAACCCTGGGAATAATAGGCTGAATGGTGGCCTGCTGTCTTGTACATTTCTATAATTCTATGGGCTGGAAATACAAATTCACATTCATATCTTAATATGAAAAACATCTTTCACGTCACTTAATAAAATTCACATAAATTTATAAATATTAGTTAAAGGTAACTATGGTAAGAATTCCTTCCTTCATTCCCATGATTTTGTAATTAATATTACTCCCTAATCAGAATATCTAAATTTTAATCTCCAAATAATGATATATTTATACTATTGGAAGTGAATATTGCTGCCCCAATATGCAATGTGGATTGGAGAATCCAGATTTAAACTACCTACTCCACATCCTATTGGGTCATTAAAAACTAAAAGCAGTTGGGAGTTCTGTGAAAGCCTAATTTAATGTTCAAGTCAGGTGGACAACTTTAAAACCAGTCTCAAAGTTTGCAGGGAGACAGCTCAAGAGCTTTCAAAGGACTACAGGAGAAACAATTTCTGAATTAATACAAGAGACAAACAGAACAAGTGCAACTAAATTTTGCACATTACATTCAGATTTAAAACTACCAACTGCATATTGAGAAAATCCTTACCCGTGTCCATACTTTGGTTCATCTGCTGATCACTCGTCTCCCCATCTTCACTGATATAACCAGGTGGTGGAGTTTCTAGGACAAGGCAGATTCATTCATTAACTGTGAAAAGTAGCTATTTCCTGAATGATTAAGGAACACCATAACATACAATGACCAGGAGATCAAATTTAGAACTATTTTTACCACTATTTTTCACACGCTTTACATTAAATCCTTTTGCAGATCTCTCTATGTGCAGATGTTGCACTAAATTTACTGCATGCTTGGTGGAGCATTTTGGATAACATTTGCAACACCCATAATAGAATAATCCTTCTTCTATTTGATATAGCACCTTATCATGTCGTTGAAATGTCTCAAAAGTTCTTCACAGAATATTTTGCAATGTGGATTAACTGCGTATTTTTGGGAGAAACATGGCAGCCAATTGCATACAACAGTGTCCAACAAACAGTTGTGGTTGGGGTGGGGGGGAGTGGTGGGAGGGATTATTACCTCCATATTAATCAACTAACAACCAGGTTCCTACTGCTAGGTAAACAGATGTATGGAGTTGGGAAACTTGCCTAAAGTTTAGCCCAACCCAAGAATCGAACCCGGGTCCTCTCACTTGCGAGGTGAGTGCACTAACCACTCCTCTACAGGACTTCAAATCCATTCATAAAATACTACTAATAAATTCTGAATGTGAAATGTTTTTATTTCACCAAACAACACCCAGAATGCCATTCCTCCCACCCCACAATAATAAAGGACACTCGTGTAGTTAGCTCACAGAAGTGCAGATTCAGAATTTCTGTTGGGAAGCGAGCTGAACTCTCCATTAGGGAAACAAACTTGGTGCAGTATTAATAAGCTGTGTGCAAAATGGCAGCAGTAGAGTGTCCCGTGGAACTTGCAATTGTTAATATGCAAAGAACAAACTACCTGGGTGTGTTTATTAATCAAAAAAAGTAGTTAATGGAGCTTTGTAGCCTCAATAATGTTTAATCTATCCATTTTAAAAATCCTACTGCAAGCACTCAAGATTTCTTTCAATAATGCTTCATATTTTCATTTATGCAAGAGGAACATTTGATGCAATACCAATGCAAGATGACCTCCTGACATCTTCACTGCCATGGAAATAGTGACTTGGATATCAGACCTTCAGAACCAGATTCTCATTGAACGCAGATTGGCTCATATAACATGAACATGGATTTTGCCAAGTTGTCAAATGGAAACTGAATAAGGGTCAACCTGCAATAGGCTTCACTGTGATTTATCAGTTGCATTCAAGTGATTCAGGGTTCAAAAGTCTCTCCATGACCACATGGTTTAAATGATTTATTCCAATCACTAAAAACGTACTGAGCATGCAACTAGTTTGCCCACATAATCAGAGGGCAGCCACAGTAACACCTAGCAGTTCAGGGATTTAACCCTCTGACAGTGGCCAAAGACAGTGGAGTGACATTATTTTATAAAATGGTGTGGTTCCCTGCCTAAACTAAATTAGGTTAGGTCTCGCTTATTTGCAGTTCCAACACCTGGGTTGGTTTAGTTTAGTTTATTAAAATGTCCTTGGCCTTCGTGTGACGGCGGGTGGTAATTACCCACACATTTCCATGACACTAAATCACTTTATTAAATTGCGTCATTCATTTAAAGATCAGCCCTCTTCCAATTAAGTCAGGGTTTTAGAGCCTGGCTGCCAAATGATTAAAATGGACATGAACAAATTCCCACTACCATTTCAAAGTGGGGTTTCTCCCTTGGTTATCTTGGCTTGCATTCGCTTCTCATCCAAATTCACCCAAGCTTTCTAATGGCTTCTCATCGATGTGGAAGTTACTGGAGAAAATTAGCTGCCGTGTTCGAACCTCATTCTATAAAGCACCTAGGCTTCATTTATATGATATTTAAGTGGGTAGCCACATGTATCGGCACCCAGCTGACCAAAAACAAATTATATGAAATTTGCTAAGTAAACTGCAAGTTGTTGCTGACTTTTGCATTTCTGATCCACTGGAATAAATGGAAGTCTATGCCTCAGTCATGTTCTGCCTTGTCTGTTTAATCTATGACTTTAGTGGAACATCATTGGGAGCAGAGGACACATGTTTGGCAATTCACTTGAGTATTTGAATAAGTTTTAATGAGGTAACCATTAGCTCTGAAATTGGCATTCAGGGATTTGCTTTAATTCATCGTCTAAGCCATTGGTTTGTAGCCAATACAAGTCTGCCTAACCCACTGCCAAGCATCCCAAATATAACAATACATTTGTAAATTACACTCTAGGCAACGCCTTCCTGCCTCAGGATCCTAAGATTTTGAAAGAACGTCTGCCTTCAGCCTGGTGGAGAGATCACTGAAGGACAACCTACAATGTGCTAGCCCCGTTGATGTCTCAAGTTTAGTCTTGGACCATTCACAAAAGCAAAAATAGATTTCTCTTCACATAACTGTCATATAATCAAACATCTTTGCTGTGCAAAGATCACAAGAGATGTCATCCTTCTAGAATACCCATCCTACCATCTTCCCATGACACCAGCCCTCTTCCCATTACATTGTATCATTTCTTAATGGTTTTTAGCCTTTAACATCCATGTTGGCAAACTGTTAAGACTGTAAAGAAATATTTCCTGGTTTCTGTATCGATTCCACTTCCCGCTTTACAGCGAAAAAAGAGTACAAAGCAACACAAAACTCAAATACCTGTGATATGCAACTATTACATGCAAAGCAATTGCACACACAAACCATGGTAGCGTGAGTTGTACTGTTATTTTTAAATCTATAACTGTGCTAATGAATGGTTTTCCTTTCACTGAAATTTTATTCATGTCACACTATAAGTTGGACATAATCACTTTCAACACTGGTAAAACCAATCACACCGTAATTACAAACATTATTAAAATAAATGCGAGTACCTGGGATGTAGTTGCTCTGTGGCTCTATTCCAGCTGGAAAGTTAGTGTTCTCAGGGATAGAATGGGTATAGTCATCGAGTGGGGGGAGTTCTGCTGGAATTTCTGTGTGTCGTGGCACCAATACAGGAGGCAAGACTGAAATCAAAACCACAACCATTAGTTATGCACAGAAATCACAATAAGTTAAGTTGAAGGCAGCCTGCAACAGTTTTGATCTCAGCTCTAAAGAATACAAACCCTACAGTCAAGTAGATAAAGTATTTTATTAACAGTCCAGTGCCCTGCCTGCTCTCAAACAATTCTTCCAGGTAACTCACTCTAGGGCTAACTACCTTATGTATAAAGAAATGCTCTTGGTGTCCATCCTAAAGCTAGCAAATCTGAAAGAATCGTTCTATTCCTTTTAGCAACAACAACAAATTACCTTTGTATTGTGCATTTCACATCACAAGGGTGTCCCAAGGCGCTGGCATTTCAATTACAATATCACAAGTCCCAAAGCATTCTATATACTTCTAAAGGGCCTCTCTGAAGTCTGTTTTCAGGGTTCATCTAATCGTTCTTCAAGCGCATCCCTCTAGAATGAGGAGACTGACTTGCTCTCCTCTGCAAAACCTCGAGAGCCTCAGCCATGTCTCTACGCAGTTCGCTAGGTGCAGACCGACCAGACTCATTGAACTGATGCATCCTTAACATGCACAGCACTGTGCACAGATTGACAATAGGGAAGAGCACAAAGAAGATGCCTCATTGTGACATTCACATCAGTGCATTATCCACATTAACCTTCACTTCTTTGCCATCAGGCCAGGCTTCCAATACAAACTTTAGAATACATCAATTCTAATGCATTTATTAGGGAATGCATTATATAGTAATAAAACAACAAAATTACATTTGTAAAGTGCCTTTCAAATCGAGAGGACGTCCCAAGGCGCTGAACAATCGGGGAGCAGGGTTGGGATGAGGTAGGGCAGAGAGGTAGGAGGGCGGTCAAAGTCGAAAAGGAGGGTCTTGAGTGTGCCTTGAAGAAGGCAAGGGAGGGAGCAAAGCAAAGAGACCACGGAATGGAATTCCAAAGGGTGGGGGCAAAGAGGCTGAAAGTTCACCCGCTGATCGTATGGCGGATCGGGCGGAAGACGTGGAGCAGGGCAGAGCCCGCAGACAGGTTTATAGGGGGTCAGCTGGACAAGCGGTAGAAGTGGGCAAGGCTGTAGAGGGCCTTGAAAGTGAGGACGAGGATTTTGAATTCTATCCTCTGAGGGATGGGGAGCCAATGGACTGGGAAAGCGTGCAGCAAGGAAACACGGTTTGAGGCACTCGTGTAGGAGAGGAATGAGCGAAGCTGGGAAGCAACGACTGTTTCAAGCACCTTGGAAAGAAACGGGAAGTTGGACCGGTAGTTAGAAGGCAGGGATGGGTCCAGGGAAGGTTTTTTCAGGATGTGTTTTTAGCTGTTTTTAGGGAGATGGGAATGGTGCCAGATGATAGGGAGAGATTGATGGTGTTGGAGAGTGGAGGGGCAAGGAGGTAGAGCTGGGAGGTAGAGAAAGGAGTGGCCTGCTTCACACCGCCCGCCTCGCTTGCCTCACTATTGGCAGGCAGACCTTCTGCCACTCTGCCTCCACCCTCTGGAACTCCATCCCATAGTCCCTCCTCACCCCCTTCAAGACCCATCTCAAGACCCTCCTCACTCCCTGACCCGACCATTTTTGGGGGGATAAGATTAGTACCCCCAATCAACTAACAACGGTTCCTACTTTCTAGGCGTGTGGAGTAAGGAATCTTTCCCAATGTTTCGCTGTGCCTGGGAATCCAACCCAGGTCCTCTCACTTGTGAGGCGAGTGCTCTAACCACTATGCTACAGGACTCAACATAACAAGACACTGCTTCAAAAATTATAATTCTATAACAAAACTATTTTGGGACAATTATATCTATATTGGTCATGACCTAGGACTCCTGCCACCTCTTTAAAACAACTAGATTATCAATCTATCTTCTCTATACAAATAAAACGACAATTGTCTGTCTGTGCTTCAAGAAGGATCTCATAACCGATTGACGTAGAGACATGATTTATACCTCATCGGAAAGGTCTTGAACCTGGGAGTGACATGTACATATTTGTTTTGAGTATTTCCTATCGTTAATGAGTTATGACCTAAAATGCATTTAAAGTGGTGCTGTGGCACTGTGAGTCACAGAGCACCTACGTATGTACGCACAGTACACACTGCAATTACACCTGGTGGCTACGCCGGCTGACTGTGGAGCCGTGGCATCATCCGTCGTAGAGCACACACGCCACCAAGCAGCGGCGGGAAAAAAATAAAGAAGACAAACGAAGCTAAACCGTGGCAATAACAAAACTACATTTTTAAAACGCCTTTCATGTTGGCAGGACGTCCCAGTGATTAAAAATTGATATTCATCATTATAAGATGCCTAAGCAAAAATCAAACCTTTCAAAGATAAGTAAAAATGCTAATCAAAAAGAGAAGGATCATTAAATGAAACTGAAGAACAAAGAAAAGCACGGCTGCACTTCAATGCTGAAAGGACTGCAACAGCGCAAAATGAGTTGTCCACTCAAGAACACGAGCCAAAATGAGTCCTCCCACAGGATTCCTACCAGATGAGTATAGATAAAGATGAAATGGCTGTCTGTGTGTCTGTCTTTGTGTCAATCTACATTCAATATTGGATCCTTTGGTTGCAAGCTCGTACTTCTTTAAACTACTATAACCTACAGTTGAACCTACCCGGCGTCTCGACCCTCTGGTAATGATATGGGTTAACGCACACTTCATCCTTCTTAAGATTGAAAGCATACTCGCAGGTCTCAATGGCTTGAAGCTCATGGTGACTGTGGAGATCAGGCCATCGCCACAAGCGGCAGTAAATGACATGCGGTAAGCCTTTGCGATGTGAAACTTGGAGCCGGCCGTCAAGTGATCTGTCCAGAAAGGAGAGGAAAGTAGAACATTAAAGTGCATCAAGTTACCGATTTAGTTTTAATGCTACATTCAACAAATCAACCCATTTAATAATATACATTTCATCAGTAAATAAATGCTGAAGGCTCAAGAATCAATAGATGACCTTTACTCATAATGTCTGGGTGTCAACGAGGGAGTGGAATTAGTACATTTCTTTCAGTTTAGAATTCAATGAAATCACAGAATGCTGTGATACAGCTAGAGGTGACGAGAGGTTTGAGTATCAGACCATTTCTTACTGAAAGCTGACTCATTTTATCTATGTTCAAAGCTTTTATCGCTGTTAGTTGACTGCATCCATTTTATTATTTCAAGTTTTCTAAAAGACCTTACTACAGCGATTCGTAATCCCATTAGTCACCAGCCTGTAGACAAGGCAATTTTACATTTTAATATGGAGGAACACACAAATAAAATGTACTTTTAATTATGTGTCACAGAACAATCGCTCCCCTAGAGCTCAGTGCGGTGGTCAATCCCTTGGTCCTGTATTACTACAGAAAAAAGTCATAAAACAAACTTTTTCTGGTTTAATATTCAATCATTAAGACATTTCTCTTGGAATCAAAAAATATATTTTTTTTAAGGTAAATGGGGGGACGACAACAGTGAGAGACAGAGAGAGGTACACACACACACACACCACCTCACCCCCACCCACACACAATAGAAGACTGTAAACAGGATCCAGGAATAGTTACATCAGTCTAAACATTACCAAAGGGCTTTTGTGCATGGTTGCTTAGATTCAGAAAATATAGGAGGTCATATAACCACTGATAGTTTTCACAGAGCTTCTCTCTTTCTTGACTCCCACCCCACTCCCCAACTTCAGTTTCCATCTGCTACTCTTGTAGATGCAGGAACTCAATTAAATAGAATTTTCATCTCATTCTGAGGTTATTTCAAACAAAAAGAAGCTGGTTAAAACAGTTTCACTGTCAACTTCTATAACGTCTCTACCAAATCTCCAATTGATTTAATTTTAATCTCAGATTTGTTCATATTTAATCATGTCGGGTTGAAATTGGGTTACTGAAAACATGAATTTCACATCCCAAAGTAGACCTAGATCAATAGTAAGTTTGAATTCTGTACAATTTTGGGTTGTAATTGCAACAAGGTGAACAAGAGTTCAAGAAACTGATTAGACTAGCAAGGTTCTCAAACCACGTATCTACTGCATTCCTTTTGAGGACTGCATTTTTTGCAACGATTGGCATTTTCTCCAGTCAATCTAACCCCCTTATTGCTATGAAAATAAGGTGTGGGAGTGTAAGAGTTGCCACTCTCTGTTTCACGGAGACCTGAAATTTCTTCCACCTAAGACAGGTATCCCAAATCCATATAGCACCTTACTTGAATATTGAAAGTAGAGTGCTCGGACTTGCTTGAACTTTTTCAGTTTAAGATTGGAGCTCAATGTTGAGTTAATAAAATTTTCCAATTTGTTTGTAGAATTCTCTCGCGTCAATATTTGGAAAATTGTTATTAATACTGAGATTGCAGTAACTTCGCCAATATAAAAATATCGCCGTATGGTCAATGCCATTAGATCACAGCCTTAGACACACATGTATCATCAATTGGTATTGACTGTGCAGTCCAGTTCTGTGCCACATCTCCTGATTCATTGGTGAAAATTCAATGGAATATCACAATCGACATTGTAAACCCATTTAAACCTTCCCCAGACCATCCAAAGATAGACAGAGAGAAGAAATGCATTGGGAAAATAATGGGCTCTAGGTAGAAATAGGTAGAAAATAGTAATAAACGGTTAAAACGGGGAAGAGAAGGAAAAACATGGGCAAATACAGGAAATAGTTGTATTCAAATTGAGAATTGTTTTTCAGCATTAGGTTGTCAAAATTAATCTATTCAGAAATGTAAGCCGTTTTACTCAACTTGCATTTACAGAAATAAAAAATCTCAAAGCGCTTTGCAAATGTAATTGAGAAATGTACAACTTTTTTTGGTCACCGGGTATTTGACACTATGAGGAAACCCATCAGCATACTTAAGAGTATCCAGTCCAAGCTGAAAATTCCACGGATCCCACCTTCACAAATTTCCTACTCCTAGGTCTGAAACGGTTTCACAAAACGATTAAAAGTGGTATCATTCACGCCCGAGTCGTTTGAGTTCAAGCCCCACTTTAGTACTTGAAACCCATATAGTCCATGCACACACTAGTATAATTGTGGGCGTATGTTACAGTGTCGGAGTCCATCCTTCAGATGAGACATTAAACTGAGGTTCCATTAAACTGCATGTTCAGATGGAGCTGAACCATGTTACTGCTTGAAAAGAGAAGGGAGTTTCTCCCAGTATACTGGCCAACAACCACCAAACTAAAAATTGGTCGCTCACTTCATGGCTGTTTGTGGATCAATGCTGTGCACCCATTGGCTGCAACATTCACCCACAAAATACAGTCACTTATAGTACATGCTATGAAATACTTTGAGACACCTTAACCACATAATAAGGGACTATGTCAAAGGCAACGATTGTTACTCTAATAAGTGAATGTTATGCATGCAAACACATCAGCAACATTCAATAAAAAAGATTAATAGCCAATTAATTGAGAGTTTGAGGATTAATTTTAGATTTAAGGAGGAACAGACATTTATATATACAATTAGAGTTGCACGGAAATAAAGAAAATTTCAAAAACTAAAGAGGGAGAAATAAAAGGGGGGAAAGAGTAAAAGTGGATGTTCAGCTCTGCAAAGGCAGTCTACAGAGTCATACATTGGGTTAAGGCCTTCTGTTTTGACTGTCTGGAGATGTGGCATGAGTTTCTTGGGTCAAATGCTACCTCCCTCCTTCTGTAAGCAACAACATCTCTTACCTCTTGGTGCCCTTACTTCAACTCCATGCATAAAAAATATTAATGAAAAGGATTGGGGGAGGGAAGCTATTTAATTACAATACATTTCATCAACAAAGTGAAAATCTTGCTTTTGGTGATGGGTGAAATATTGCTTTGGGATAGAACGCTGAAACTTTGTGAGGTCGGGATGTGGTTTCCTCATTCCTGTCACAAAAAGTTCTGTAACCGAGCTAACCTCTCACCTCACTTCAGTAACTTTAAAATCCCCTCTGACTAACTAGAATCAAAGATTTTTCAGCACAGTATTTGGCCAATCAGCCCAGCCCAGCTTTGCTGGCTCACTATCCAGTGAATCCCATTCCCTTGCTTCATAGCCTTCATATGTTTCTTTTCTGATAAGAGAAAAAAATCATTTTAATTTGATAATTTGGATTCAGCTTCAAGCAGTTTTTATTAAGGCATCCCTTGTTCACCTTCTAGTTATATACTGCTATTTACACAGTCTATAATCAGTGGAGTACAGTCTGACAGCAAGCAGGAGAGAAGAGGAGCCCTGGTGACCACAGGAAGGTATAAGAGATGGGATTTAAAGATGGGGAGAAAGGGAATGATTGAGGCAGAGAGTTCCAAAGATTTGGTGTCGTGGCTGGAGGCAAGTCAGGAGACCAGTCAGGAGACAAGCCTGAGTTGTTGAGCAAAGGGGCAGAGGCAAAGGAGTGAGGTACAAGCAGGTCAGAGAAGGGATTTGTAATCCAAAGATGAAGATCTTGAAATCAATCCATTGGGAACTAGGTAGCCAGAACCTTGCTGAGTATTGGGGGTGGGGTGCAGATTGACATAGTTAGGTGTGGATGAAGCTTTGGGTGGCAGAGGTTTCCATTAGCTGGACCCTATTGATAGGTGAATTGGGAGATCAGCGAGGAGTGCATTTGAGAAATCAAAGTGGGAGGTGACAAATACATGAATGAAAGTTTCAGGAGCATTTAGTGCGAGAAAGGGTTGGATGCAGGCAATGTTGCAGAGGTGGAGGAAACCAGCCCTCAGGGACGGAATGTGGGGTAGGAAAGTGCTGAGGATCTCAGATGCCAAAGTTGCCAAATTTTGGGGTGAATTTGAGGCACAATACAGCCTCCCCTTGCTCCTCCCACCGATTTAGTTCTGCACAACCCAAGTACAATCTGTGGATCTTCTCTATCGTCTCTGCATGGCCTTGACATCCTCAAGTGGGACAACCAGAACTAGCCCTAGTGCTCAACTTCAGCCAGAACAAGAACTTGTACAGGTTTAGCATTACCCCCTTTGTTTTTGTATTCTACTCCAAGTATACTCTTTTAAAAAATACTTCATCAATTTGATTCTCTTTTAATAGTGTATCTGGTTACCCCTTGAACTCTGCTCTTCCACTCATTTTAAACTTTACCATTTAATAACATCTCTTTTCGTCTTTTACCTCAGTGAATCATCATACTTCTCTGCATTAAATTGCTTCTGCCATCTACCTGCCTAATTCATTAATCTGGCCATGTCCTCGTGAAAATGTTTTGTCCTCTTTGCTGCTAGCCACACTCCCTAATTTTAGGTCTGCAAATATTATGACCCTATACTCCCAAATAGATCATGTATATACATTAAGAGCAAGAGGTGCAAATAGCAATACAACTCTCCAGTCTTACATTTCTTCCTGAGTTACCACACAATATTATCCCTCTCAAAAATGTTTACACCACCATTGCTACTCATGATAAAAGAGGACAGCAGTTTTGTGCAAATGGTTGTGCTTAAATAAGGAACAAAATGAGTTTAGAAAAACAGAATTCTACTATAGTGAGAGACAAGACCAAATTATACCAGAAGCAGTGGAATAGTAAATTTACACTCAATAGTTCCAAGCAGAACCAAGTCAGGGAGAGTAACTGAGGGAGGCTGTATGGCGGCTTTGACTGTGGACGTTGAGCATCTTTGAAATGCTACAACCACATTATCCTTCTTCATTGTATAAGTATACATAAACTATACAATAAAAGAATCTCTCCGAGTGATTTTAACTTATAACGTGTACATTCTTTGTGTATTTACTAAGTGGGTTATCTAAAGCTATTTCAGAACATAAGAGCT